AGCAGAAATACAAACCCATGCTCTCTGAATGAATACCCAGCATCCAGTCCAAGTAGATCACATAGTAAATGGAATTAGGCTTTGGTTTCTTTTCCTTCTTCTTGTTTTGTAATGTCCTTTTACAATAGAGATAAATGTTCAATGTAATCTTACTGACATTCCATTAGAGACGGCTTCTAATTAGGTCCAATAGTTGTCAGATCTGAGTCCTCTGTAAAATACAAATTCTTTTCTTTTAGCTGTTGTGACAGGGTGGGTGAGACTGAGATGGTGTAAGTTTGTGAAGCGCGTAGCCAATCCCGGCCGGCAATCGGGTGAAGGCGGGGGACACCCTGGACAGGTCGCCAATCCATCGCAGGGCTAACACAAAGACGAACAACCACACACACACGCACTCCTATGGGCAATTTAGAGACACCAGTCAACTTAAGCTGCATGTCTTTGGACTGTGGGAGGAAGCCGAAGTACCCAGAGAGAACCCACGCAAGCACGGGGAGAACATGCAAACGCCACACAGAAAGGTCCCGGGTGGGGCCCGAACCCGGAACCTTCTCGCTGTGAGGCAACGGTGCTAACCACCGTGCTGCTCAGTGTTGTTTCTACATTCATTTTGATATATTGCCTTTTTATATTCATTCAGCTTAGGCACTCCACAAAAACACTTGAATAAATACAGCACTGTCCCCTCTTCCCTCCCTTCCTCAGTGAAACAAAGCTGTCAAAACATCAGATAAAAGTACAGCCTCTTCAAATGACTGTTCCATGTTTACCCTTCTATTTTTACTAGCATCTGTGTTGCACCTTTAAATAGTGTTTTGGTGGTGACAGTCAGCATCCTTTAACAGCATAATCAGAACCTTATTCTTTTTCATATTTTTCTCGTTGTTTTCAGCCCAGGCACAGTGTGTGAAAGGTGGAGCTGTAATGAAGGAGGGGATAGTGGCAGGGACCACCGTGAACTCCTGTTCTATGGAATCTGTAGAGGGCTGTGGACAGAGGTGCTTTGAGTGGCTGATAGATTTCAAAGGAGCTGAGGGTTCATGGCTCAGCGTTGTGTCTCACAAGGTTAAATGAAATTTACAAGAACCTTACACTCAATGTTAGTCTCCTTTTTTTCTCAACACAGAGGTCATTACTTTTCCCTTTAATTTCACATTCTGTGTGCCTTATATTAGGCAGCAAGTGAACATTCAGTACTTGAAGTCAATGTATTGGAAGCAGGAAAATGGGCACCATAAGGATCTGAGTGACTTTAACGAGGGCCAAACTGTGATGAATAGTCGACTGGGTCAGAGCATCTCCTACACTGTGGGTCTTGTTGGGTGTTCCCGTTCTGCGGTGGTTAGTACCTACCAACAGTGGTCTAAGGAAGGACAATCAGCAAACCAGCAACAGGGCCATGGACACCCAAGGCTCTGATGATGAGGTTGATCCTGTACACACCTCTGAACTGGTGTAGAAACCTCCAGTCTCCTCCTCCTGTAATACTGGTGTGGGATACACCCACATAAAACCATTATTCCCTAAGATGAGAGATGGAAGTTTTCTGCAACTTGATCAGGGAAGGAGAACGTTGCATCAATTGAACTTATTTACCAATATTTACAGCTACATTTTGTAAAGCAAAACAATGATACATAGCAGTGTGATACTTCATAAACGTATTTCATCACACTGTTTAAACTTACCCGGTGAACATATGTCACACATGGCTGTGTTTTTTGTTATTTTAGGTTTCTTTAAGCTGGTACCTCTCTCTGGCTGTTTATTGAAAGGTCAAATATACACATTAACATAATGCGTGCTTAGTTTATGAGACTGTTAATGAGTGATACTGACCAACAGCCATGCTAGCACACGCTTCAACAATTCAGGGTGTTTCTACTCCATGTAAGGTGAATAATGTTACTTTAATTTGAGAAAACTAGCTTATGAGAAATGGATGCCAGTGCACCTAAACTTCACTACAGGGTACATGATGCTACTTAACAAGCGCTGTTTGTACGGCTGTGGCTCAGAAGGGAGTTCATGTCGAAGTGTCCAAGACACTGAAGCCCAAGTTGCTCCTGGTGTCTGCGCCATCAGTGGGTGAGTGTGTGAACGGGTGAATGGAAAATAGTGTAAAAGTTCTTTGACTGTGCTTCACTGCGTAGAAAAGCATTATGCAAGTATAAGACAGTTTACATTTACCAAACATTGCTATACGTTTGAACAAAATGTACAAACAAGCATTTTCCAGTAACATTAACACTCACAAGGCCCATCTGGTACTGCTGCTACCACAGATGTGTGGTAAACATCTGTGCTCAGCATAGCTAAATGTGACAGATTAATGACAGCTCTCTGCTGTGTGTATGTGTGTGCCTTTATATTCAAAAAATCCCCCCCCCACCTCCCCCTTTGAGGCGGTCTTGTATTCTTCCTTCAAGCTCAGGTCCTCTACCAGAGGCCTGGAAGCTTGAGGGTCCTGCGCAGTATCTTAGCTGTTCCTAGGACTGCACTCTTCTGGACAGAGATCTCAGATGTTGTTCCTGGGATCTGTTGGAGCCACTCTCCCAGTTTGGGGGTTACAGCCCCCCCAATGTTCCTATTACCACGGGGACCACTTGTGCCTTCATCTTCCACATCTTTTCTAGGTCTTCTTTCAGCCCTTGGTATTTCTCAAGCTTCTCGTGTTCCTTATAATAATAAAGCATCATTTATATAGCACTTTACAACTCAGAGCGGGCCCAAAGTGCTGCACAGTAAAAACATATCTATAGACTAAAGCAATAATCGAACAATCAACCAATATTAAACTGTCAAAAAACATAGAACCACATGTAGACAATGCCGTTTAAACAAAAAAAAACACAGATAAAACAAATTAAAGAGCAAAAGCCTGTTTAAAAAGGTGCATTTTTAATGTGGATTTAAAAACCGCTAGCTCAGTAATAGACCTAATCTCAAGTGGTAGCGAGTTCCAGAGTCTGGGGCCATAAACAGCAAACGCGCGGTCACCCCATTTCTTAGATTGGGACTGTGGGACCACTAGTTTTTAGAAGAGCGCAGGCCTTTACGAGGAACATAGATGGATAGAAGTTCAGACAGATAAAGTGGAGCAAGGTCATATAAGGCTTTAAAAACAAATAAAAGAATCTTAAACTCAATTCTAAAATGTACAGGCAGCCAGTGTAATTTGAGTAGAACAGGAGTAATATGGGCAGCCCTGGGAGTGTTGGACAATAGCCGGGCCACCGCATTTTGGACCAGTTGAAGTTTCCTCAGCGAAGATTGCGATATACCAGCGTAAAGGGCATTACAATAGTCTAATCGCAAAGTAATAAAAGCATGAATTGCTTTTTCTAGGTCTCCTTGGGATAAGAAAGGCTTAACCTTTGTTAAAACCTTCCTTCTTCCTGATGTTGCTATTGCTTGAGATTGCTACATCTATCGCTACGGCCTACTTCTTCTGTTTGTCCACCACTACTATGTCTGGTTGTTTGGCCATTGCCAGTTGGTCAGTTTGTATCTCGAAGTCCCACAGGATCTTAGCTTGGTCATTCTCAACCACCTTTGGAGGTGTATCCCATTTTGACTTTGGGACTTCCAGCCTGTACTCGGCACAGATGTTTCTGTACACTATGCCAGCCACTTGGTTATGGCGTTCCATGTATACCCTGCCTGCTAGACATCTTGCACCCCGCTGTTATGTGCTGGATTGTCTCAGGGGCATCTTTGC